CATATATAGTTAACAACTGTTTATATATCGTATGCTCTCATAGAACATGAAAGTATAATGGTAGCATAATTGCTTATTAGTTTAACGGGCAGAGTTGAAATTTGCTGCTGGCTGAGAGAGTATTTATACATACTCATACCTAGAGTAATTGCATTATCTGGATGTGGGCCGAGACAGGCGTCAACAGAGTCCCTAATATAGGCCATGAAACAATAATGAATGTGCGAGCGGCATTCAGTTATATTCCGGCCGGTATTACAGGAAGCTAGGACTGGGAAATTCAAGACTGATGCTTTATATCAAACCTAATCTAAACATGGTAGACTTATTGACGACTATGCGTCACGATTTAAAAAAAGGTTTATGATAAGTCGCCGGCGTGGCTCAGCTGGTGTTCCAATAACGCTAAGAGCACGTCAAACGGAAGAAAATACTAGAATTTAATTTTCTTAGTTGCGACGCTTTTTTGGTATCGAACATAACACGGGCCCTTATTGCGCTTGGCCGGCAATTGAGTTGTAGTATCCATTTTTAAGTTTGCCATATTCCAAAGTTCTAAAGATTTCGTTGTTATTATATATATTTCTCTGTTATATCATATCATTGTGTCGCGCCCGAGCGGTGGACAAGCTTCAGGTAAAGGTAAAAGGACAGGACGAAGCGCAACATTTGTATAGACAGCCTTGCTGAAAATATTGCATAGCTACATAGGGAAGCAGGACACTTTAGTGATGTCCACAGCTTACGCCTATATCTGTCGGGTACAATTTACTAATTTAATTGAATAAGGATTTTATTTATGAACGCCAATATGTGAGCAGTGTGTGAAAAGGCGTTGTACGTTAATATAAATTAGGGTAGAAAGCAGGTGTGCCATGTACATCAAATTACCTGCAGTTACGCAAATCTATTAACGACTAAAATTTTATTCCGTGTAGTGGTTTGAAGGATCCGGGGTATATGTGCTGCGAAGATAATTAGGTCTAAAAATTCAAATGCGCTTAACACGGAAGACTCCGCGAAGTTGCCTTGTCACTGATAAAACTTCAGTAATCCACTGTTCTATGTAAAATTAAAGTTTGGCGGTTAGTTGATTGAATAATTGGCGATGATCAACGTTGTATGCGATTGTAATACGGGACTACAATTCTAAAAATAAATGGCGGCATTTTTTGAATTTGCTCAACTCCAGTTGCTTTGCTCTCATGTTGTGTAACGCAGGCACGGAAATTAGATTGATTATTGGTTGGATACTTTTTTAGCCAGTGTAATATATGGATTTTTCATTCTGCGAAATATGCGATGATATTATCTGGTGTCTTTTTATCCTATTTTATCATTGTAGAACATTGCTTCTCAGTCTGTTTGATGAATGCATCTATAGCCTGATAAATAGTCATATCAACTTCATTCACGCCGATTTTTAGGTAGGCTACTTATTCCGACTGTGCCAAACCATATCACAAATAGTACGATGTTCAAGTGTTTGATCAACTTCCTCAATAGATCCAAAAGGAAAGCCTAAGGTCTCAAGGGGAGAAGTTGTGAACCTTTGCAGCGCTCTGATTGACACGTTCAAATATGTACATACAAAATACATAAATCCTAAAGATTATAGTCGTTTGAAACCATTCATCGATATCTCAACATTAATTCATCATCAATCCTTTTTTTTTTAAGTTTTTTTTTTTCAGACAATCAGTTTTGTCATTAATTGGTTTTTCTATTCTTGAATTGTTTGAACTTTCAACCGCGTACTTTACCTAGCAGCAATAGCTTAAATAAACGTGCAATGAAGCACGGTCCGAAACAGTTTTTTTTTTCTCATAGGGACTGCGCTATCAGATTCAACTGTGAATCCGTTTCCAGTGTAAAGCTGTACACGTTCATAAAATATCTAGCTACGGACATCTGTGGTGAGGAAGTTTTTTCGGCTTTTTGTTTTCGGTGCTGTGGTAACTAAGCATTGTTTCAGGTGGTTGGTGGCCCCGTATAATGCGAAACGCGCTATGTGTGTCCACTTCTGCTCAGAACTTAGTAGATAGTCTAGGAATCACGCCCACTGAAAAACGGAAATCAATATGGCCTCAATGGTAAGGATATAACTGACTGATAACCGAAACAGTAGTGGCAGTCGATTTTAAACGGATTCTAGCGAAGCAACGAAAGCTTATGATAGTGAGGTAACGATAATTGTCGTAAAATCGATACAAGCAGTGTGATAGATATTGATGTGATGGTACCAGCTTCAGCTAAATGTAAAGGCAGCCTGTAAAAAGTGTATGATGAATCTTTTTAGTGACAGCTGTAGTACGAGATGCTATGATAGTTTCTGTGAATTCAGCCAGATGTAATGAAAAGCGTCTTTGCTTGTGTTCAGTAAATAAAATACCTATTGTGCATATTGGTTGTAATGAAAACTCACATGAGAAACATACGCCACTCTCCTCGTTAACCGCACATATCTTCGAATAAGATGTGTTGAAATCGTTAGACTGGGCCTAAAAACCGGCGGTGGAACAAAGATTGACCCCCAAGTTGACTTGATGAGCGCGTGGCTGAAACTGGCTCATTATTTAATCCACGGTAACATAAATAAATGTGCTAGGTATTGGAGAGTCTAAGTTGCTTAATCTGTTAAAAGTTATCACTCACAGGATCGTTCTTCTTAATAATAAAATTTCTATTATACACTGAACTATCAACGGCAGTTTATTTCGCCAAAAAATAACATCACACTCGAACAAACGAAAAGGGACAACAATATATATTTATTAATATGCTTCTATTAAGCTAAAAACGTAATGCTGCATTTTAACAAATCTAAAGAATCTATTAGATAGTATGTAAATGTCCTAGATGAGCTATTGATCACTATGAAACCGTCCTTCTTGTTGTCGTGATAACGAGGCAGAGGATAAAATCACAAGGGAAAGACAAAGTCAGCTTTTGTATTCGTGTATATATAATGGCATTTTTTTCAAATGCACCCTTTACCTTTTTACTTTCATGTATATGACTCTTCTTCTAAGCGCCTTCTGTTTCTCCTTACACTCGTTCTAATCTCAGTGCGGAGAATTCGGGCTCCAATCGTTGACGTCTCTGGTGAAAAAAAGCATTTTAATACCCCACTTTTTGCAATTTTCCGAACCCCGTAGAATAAACCCCAATTCGCCCTACTATGATCAATACGGATCTATATGACCCTGGTTTGTTATTTTATCAGTCGTATTTCATTGTGTTCATTTTGCGCAGGTGAAGCAAAGACACGTTAAAAATGTCGACTCCTCCAATCTTGAGCCTTTTATTATTAGTTATTGTTATTTCTCGAACATCATTAGTATTTTCATCTTTATTTTATTGATGGTGCTGCTGCTGCTTTTTACACTCACCGCTCCGTTCCTAACACACCCTTTCTCTCTCGCTCTCAGACACACTCACTCACACTCACACAAGCAGACACTCACTCACACTTTCACACTCCCTCCCTATCTCGCTCATTCTCAATTCCTTCTCCTCTTCTGCACTTTCCCGCAGCGCTACTGACTTTCTGCTAAATTTGTCAATTTTCTTGGTCTCTTTCACCCTCATCTAGCATTTTCTGTCTGCAATTTTTCCCGGTACGTCCAGAGCTGTTTGCTGTATCCGTATGTTAATGCGTTATCAACATTACGAGGTTACGCTTGTCAATTCCCTGCGTACTGCTTTCAAACTTCCGTTCGCTTCAACCGACTATCCCGCCATCTAGTTTTGCCGCTCCATTTACCGCACTTTTTAATCGTCTTGCTGTATTGTTTTTATATTAATAGTAAATAATAATAAGACTTAGGTTTTTCCTGTCATCAGCAGAATCTTTACCCATTTTAGCCCATTCGTTCTTTATTCGGTCAGCCTTGTTCTACTTGCCCCTGTTCCCGTTTCACCAGTGTTGTTGCTTACAATCGCGTCATTCTGGACGCCTCTCGCACTTGGCGTATGTCCAACAGAATCAAAACTATGACGGTTACGTATCATACAAATATATCTATTACTTATTTATATGTATATTTTCCCTGCTTCCGGACCCGATTTATTTAGCGAACATCATCCGTTGTTTTGTTAATTTGGTGTTAACATACTTATTTAAATTTCTCCTAAAGCTGTGTGCGTGGAAAGTGGCTTCTGTGTACTAGACCCCGCCCTCCACCATTATATCCAACACAATCGATTTTCAATATTGTTATTATCACACTAGGAAACTACAATTATAGATAACGGTATCAGCAGGTTAGTATCGCAAATCTACAGTGGGTCAATTGTGTTTCTAAAATCTACTGTCATAATATTATTAACGCTGTTGTTCTAATTCATATAGCTGCGTTTTTTGCATTAATCGATCGTGCCCTAACATGCTTTGACGTTTCTCGTTGTTTTTATTTATCTGCCACCGCTTATTTACTTACTTTATTATTATTAATATTAATTACTATTATATTAATATAAAATACTGCCAATATAAAGCAATAATAATGTCTCAATAATTTTACGGTTTTACCTTTATAATTTTATTCACGTTATCCCACGTTCTTCATCATTATCCTTATCGCTTGTTCCTTTGCTAGGCAACCTCCTTTTTCGACGTCTATTTTTATCATTATCTTCTTTCGTATATTCTTCACCTTTCTTTCTATCGTTATCGTCATCGTACTGCTTGTGTCCCTTATCTTCAAAGGAAAACTTTAGCTTCATCCGCCATTATGCTCATCTACAGTCCTACCTTGAAGTGCCTTAATTTGCCGCTACCTAAGTATATACCTCACACCGTTTATCCTCGTCATCATCATCATCAGCGTCATGATCCTCACCAGCATTCTCAGTGTCCTTTCAATCGTCATTGTCATATTTTATCAATATAATTTTCATCACCACAGCGTTTACATAATAATAATAATAATAATAATAATAATAATAGGATATATAAGAGTTTATACCTATGCGTCGTCCTTTTTTTATCGTTATCAATCATCCTCTCTCTCTCTCTCTCTCTCTCTCTCTCTCTCTCTCTGTATATATATATATATATATAATAAGTTGGCTACGTGCGTTGGACGTGTGGCCGAGTGTGAATATCTCTCTCTTCCTAATTTTCATTCGCGAGCTGCATTACAGGAATCGGCGCTCTCACGTCAGCAAGTAGACGAGAACCCTTCCACCTAAGCTTTATTTCCCCAGAACTGCTTCGAACAACAACTCGATCCCCAATCGTGGCTTAATTCATCTTCATTTGCTTCTTGAATATGTTACTTTTACAATTCGGGTGTTATTACTAGTGCTCATTTGTTATCATTGCTATGATTCTAAATGTTTGTATTACCATACTTGTTACTCTTCATAATTTTTTTTACCATATCCTATTTCCACTCATCACACACCAGCAGTCTTTTCCCTTTTCGTCTATCCCTAAACCGAAGTCATCAAGACATCTATCACCACCTGCATCTATGCTGGGTATTCGCTTTCTATCGCTGGTCGGTTTTAGCCATACGATATACTTATCCTTTAGCGAAACGATGAAGTCCCTTAGCCGATGAATTGTATAATTTATGCATTAGTTAAATTAATCTTGCATACCGTCGGTTTTGTAGGAGTTTTGTCATGCGCGCTCTAAGTCCCTTGTTATAGCTTATGTTACTTATTTAGAGATAGTTCGAATATACACGGCTTGGAGAAGCTAAAATCAACACCATATTCGATCACTTCAAGCAAATAGCCTCCGATGCGACCTCTCTCCAGTATCTCCTCTTAATGACAACTGCGTATTGATCTAACTTGTACTACATTTGAGTCAATTCTGCGTACATGTTCTGTGCGGTAGCTGTTTAGGGCACCCTTTTCTGTTCTTTGGGCTCTTGAACCTTCGGTAACTTTGCTTCCTTTTCCTTTGATTCGCTTATAGTCGATTTAAAGATATTAGTTAATAGTTAAAGTTACGGTCCCCTTGATTACTTGACCCTATGAGCCGTTTTTCTAAAAAAAATTACGGCGTTCTTCTGTTTCTTTTTTTTGTCTTCCCATTTCAGTTTATAGTTTCGTTGTTTGTCTACCCAACATATTGACGACTATTATAGCAACAGCAGTAACAATCATGCAAAACCACCCATCTATCTCTTAACGTGTATATACGTGATACCGGCCAAGAATATACCTCTCTATTTCGTTAATTTTCATGAGTGACGACATCAACAACTCATATATTATATCATATGATTTCATTTATGTCAACACTCTTTTATAGGATTTTATGATTCCCACTTACATACAAGGCTGCATACTGCTATTGGCGAATCATTATATTTCGTCCATTAAGTGTAACAGAATTAGTCATTTTTCGCTTGACGCTTGATTTCGCGTGCTGACTCACGCCTGTTACCTGAATATATAATTTATTACGAAAGTACGTATTTGTGTTTTGTTGTAAAAATGATCGCTAAGCTTATCATGATCATTAGGTTTGCTGGTAAGCAGTCGTCAAAATTACCGTATGATAATTGTGCTATTTATATATTAATGTTCGTATGTCGTTATATAAAATTATTTATATTGCCAATCATATTAGTTGTCATCGGACTTCGTCGCTGCTTGTAGTCTAACGCTAATTACACCCTCAACCCATTTCCTCCCTTTTCCCGTCCATTAACATCCTTTACATGTGGACAGAGTTAAAGCAAGATAGTTTTTCTCAACCCATTTTCTCCGTGTATTTATTCAACATACATTAGCTACCTTTACGAACACCAGGAAAGTATTTGCGTATTTATTAGGAATAATAGGGCCGAGCACCAGAAGTCAACCCGTTCGTGTGCTACGGATAATGTGTGAAAATATGAACTGGACGACCATTCTTGCATATATTATGCAAGTTTTGGTGTTCGCACAATCGGATAACTTGTTGAATTGCGCCTCATCGCTTCATTTGTTGCTGTTGTTATTTCCCGTCTGCTGTTGTTGTTACCTGTCGTCGTCTCTCTACGAATCGTCTGCTAGCGGAGTGCTTCGTGTGCGAGCTATCTAATCCGTATGGTGGAGGTACACATGCCTTTAGGACGCGAGCGGTGTCCCGAAAGAGAGCTGTTTCCGTATTACTTGCTGGTAGCAGATCCTTTTCTTCGATTACACTATGCACGTCAGCGGGAATGATAATCTGTGTTTATCTATCGCAAATAGATTATTGTTATCCTATCATTATACCATCATTAGGCTAGTATAAGTTAAGGTATGTTATGACAGTTTGAAAAAATGTCGACGCGGACAACCGTATGGGTGTCTTCTCGCTTCATATATACCTTCGTGCCTCTCTACACTATCACTTGAGTGTCCCTTCGCTGTTTTGTGTTCCCTTTCACCTTATTATATATATATATATATATATATATATATATATATATATATATTATTGTTGTAACACTATCATTTAAGAAGTGCATCTCGACATTACGACATTTATCTTGTCATTCTCATTCAATAATTGTTAGCACTGCTCGTTGCTTCTGCTTTGCTGCAGCCGTCAGCTATTATTACAACCCATTATTACATTGCCGTTCTTACTAATCAATGTATATTTATATAAATATTTATATATGTACGAATTTAATATGATATTAACATTTTTACATTTCAGAGGAGCGCTGCACACGAAGCACTAGGCATAGTTGCCCTAACGTAATGATTATGCTATAATTATCTCCTAAAGTGAACGATTCTAATAACCACCCTTTTGTCATATTGTTCCAGCTAAACTTGCCACCCGTTCCTGATAGTGAAGCGCGGGTCATTGTTTACTTATTTTCCCTTTGTTAATATGGTGAACACAGCTGTTCTAGTGAAAGTGTGTACCGTCGAACAGGCGCTGGCCACATGTTCAACGTCAGTAGGATCTAAAATTTTTTTCACTACCAAAAATAAGTCGCGCTTTGCTCTACCGGATCGCTTCATTCGAAAGTAATCATACTTTATAATCGTTTACCGAACCAAAAAACGAGAACCGCGGAACGATACACGAGTGCGATCTCCAGACGGGTGCTTGAGTTGTGATCTACATCTACCTTCGAGTTATATGTAGAATAATGCAATTCAACATGACGGAAGAGATTTCGGGTCAGCTACTGCTAACATAGTCTGCTTCATAATGTTGCTATCATCGTTGTTGTTGTTGTTGTTGTTGACAATATTCCTATTCGTATAAAGCGTATTTTCCTTTGCCTAGCTGCTCTTCTCACGCAAACTGGCTTCGATTACTGAGCACGACAGAATCGTCTGTATGCACAGAGATCACGACACGACACTCACCTTCGACTGTCCGAGTAATAATCCCTTTTATTCTATTTAGTAACAGCAGCTGCGATAACTCTAATTAGAATTACTATTACTTCTACTTCTAAGTCTGCTAGGCACAAATTGAATAGCTGACACCGACCCGTTTGTTCTGCCGTATTTCCATTCAACTCGAGGTTAATTAGCAGAGAAACTAAACAACGGATAAAGAGAGAGAGATTAGAAGCCTCTTATTGGCATCGTTATCATTTTCCCAGCATCACATCTCATTTGTATGTACTTATAGTTTGTATATCGTCATCATCACCGTTGCTATTATCATTTGTAAAACAATTAGCTCATCTCTAATACAATTGTTCGTCTACCTAAAATATTACACTTGCAACTAAAAGCTTCTTGTTGGTGTCCATGACTTTCTCTATTGTTGTTTCGGCGGCCATTGTCACTCGCTTGCTTGGCTATTGTATGACTTTTTGTCTATCTTCGTTTAATTAGATATATCGATCATTATAATAATAATAATAATAATAACTGTTATTATCAGTGATCTGTTGCTGGTCGCGCCTGTTGTATTTCGCCATTGGGGGCGACGGACGCATTTACGGTGAACCTGTAGCGTTCCGGTTTCAGTTAGCTAACTCCTCCATGATCTCTCGCCGGCCTTCGATTTGATCCATCGCTGCGCATACTTTCCTGTTTTCTCGTTCTATATCGTTTCTAGCGATCGATATAGCATCGCTTCTTCTAGATTTGTTATTCTTTCTGCAGTTTCTGCGAACTGTTCCTATATGAAAGCCAAGTTGCTACCATTGAACGCGTACCGCTTCACTGCTACCATCAGTGTCACATCTTCCCATTTCTCTTCTCCTATAGATGCTCTTGTTTGCTATTATTATTATTACAGTTCTATTCCTTGACATGACTTTTGTGAAAACAACCTATCGCATTGCATCGCCCCTTTGGGACCCCTCTTCGTTTACAACCGTTCATAGTGGATTGGAATAAGTTCGTCTTTTATATTTATAATAAATTGTTGTCGTCGCTGTTGTTATTGCTAGTAATAATAGTGGAGCTCCGACAACGGAGTGAACGCCGCTAGGGAAGTAGGCAAATGTTTGTCTCTATTTAAGGTTTAAGATGTTCTTGTCAAAAAGGTAAAGAGACGTTCATAATGTATAAATTAGTACCGCAGCCAATGTAATGTCATTTCTGTCACCTGTTTGTCGTTGAATACCGCCGTACGTGAATAGGGTATATATATATATATATATATATATACACGCTGTCGATCTATTTAACGATGCTATTCTTTATAATAATTTTATGCCATGTCATGAGACCTTCTCAATCTCAGTGACAAAAGCGTACGGTCTTGTCCAATTTGTATCCTAGATTGTTTGTACGCATATAAGAATAATGGGTAACAGCAACGCGTCATCAGACCAAAGTCTTAGTTCGCTGTTTCTGCTAATGTTCTTCCGGTTGTTTCCTTTCGTACTGTATTGTCCGGGAGTCGCTCGTTTGGTTGACAATCTTGTTTCGCTCATCTGTTTCGCTTTCCTCTCTGTCGCAAAGCGAAATTCTGCAAGAAAATGCCAGACAACAACGCGTCCCAAGGGCACGAATGGACGTGTGTGTACCAATAATGGGAATAATCGTAACAAACAGACGTGACAAGCGAAATGCTCGTTTTATGTTGTTTGTAACACCGTTTTGTTATGGGGTCGGCCACCATGGCAGAACCCTGCTCAGCAGTGCGCCTACGTGTATGTATGTGTCTGCGTGTGTACAATGTTTTTCTATATTTCTTATTTCATCTTCTTCGTACCGGACCAAGCCGTATAAAGGGAGTATCACCAAATCGCCGTTTCGTCAAAGAATAGACTTCTTTACAGCTTGAGTTCGTTGGCTACCTTAGAGGCGATATTCTTGAAACCTATCGAAGTGCCGCTGATTCGCTTGAATCTGCAATAGCCAAACGAATGTATTGAAAAAACCGCTTTCTCGCAGATTCATATGCTTCGATAACTAAAGATTTGAAGATCTGATCAGAAGGTTTGAGATCAGGACAGGGATGGACTCGCCTTCAAATGATCGGTTTGTCATCTGTTGAAATAAACTTACCGCACTCCATTAAGGGAAAGCCTGGGAAGTTTGCACACTTCAATTTCCCATTGAACGAGCGTGTCGTTGTTTGGATCTCCGTGCACACACAAAAGAAGGAATTTTTCGCGTTGTTCGTAATCACAATTATTGCGATCGAGTACCTGTTCGCGACATTATTATATGCAGGACAATAAAAAGGTACATTAGTACGTTATGGATCTAGATAGGACATACATATAAAGCTAAAAAATTAGCAAATTTTTATCTGTCGAATATGCCTACCTATATGAACATTTCAACTAATTCCTCTACGACATTCTTCGGTATTGCCGTATAGTGTTGCTAACACATATATATATAGCGAATACCTGTCAAACTAGACTATTGACTTGATACAATGCCAGGCAAAAAGGTAACGGCAGGACTAAATTTATCGAATTTTCTAGTCGGTTGAATTTTTGTAGGAAAGTAGATTGACTACGTCCTTATTTAAGCCTAGATTACCTCATAGGTAACTTTTTGGAAAATACATAGCACTCCGCCATTACAAGCGACTTACTTTAGAATTTTCAAACCCTTATCACACAAATGTTAGCCTTCAGTTATTGCTGTCACTACTACGGTTACTGCTAGTACTCACATATTATGTATAACTGCATCACGAGAACGCTTTTATGAATAAGTTGCGTAAATTTCTCGGTTTCTTGTCAAATAGCTCAGCTTACCTTGCGAATCTCAGCCATTATCTCGTTGGGATCTCGTGATGAGGTGGTTTTCATGCTCCAGGTGAACCTCAAAGATCGAGGCTTTACCTGCTCATCGCTATTCAACGTTCTATAGTGAAGATGCGTTGAAAGCAAACAAGCAAGAAACAATGACAATGTTAAAAACACTCAATGGTCGGTCTTCAAAATCATACGAAATATGCTAACTAAGTTAACAGTGATCACGTGATATAAAATACGGTATGGTACTCAGTTTCATTCAACGTTGTTCTGCTATCAATTATTAAACATATTATTGCTATTATTATTATTGAACATGTCACTAAGGGTTACGTATAACAGATCATCTATAGTAATCTGTAAAGGGAACTTCGATTGGTTATAAACTATAGTATAAAGAATACACAGGACGGGATAAAAGTAGATGGGAGGGTATACCGTATAATTAAAAGATACTTAGCTATAACAATCCAGGGTCAACGTATCGCTTGTCGAACGTTGACTCTAGAGGTGTTTTAAATTAAAGGACCCATTACATCAGCCCTATATGAAGTAGAAAAGTCACCAGATAACCGCTTAGGTGTGCTGAAGGCGCGGGAGTGAGGTATCGTTTTCAAAGGTCTTCGATGTTAATATATTCTTGTGCACGCGTGATGAATGTGAATCAGCTCAGTAAGGTCCGGAAAAAACCGCTTAAATCTGGCGGGACTAACGATCTTGCTAACATTTAACGGGTATAAAACGGCTGTCGGCAACCGCTCATATGACATACATAGTACGTGACAATCAGGCTAAAACAATTGTCCTGAAGTCTAATAAGGACAGCCAGAGAGCTAGAATGACTCTTCCAACGCTTTACTAGTATTGACTAAACAACTACGAGAACATTAAACGGTGTCGTCCTAATATCCTTTTTTTCGTGCCTAAACGTGCATTGACCCTTGTCATTGCGGAAGTGCAGCCGCGCCGACTGGGTTCATCAACTTCTACCGCATATTATTCATCCACAGACCAACAAATCTTCTGTTCGAACAAAAAAATTTTCGAGCTACTCTGACCACCATCGATCGTAAAAAGGCCATCATAATAATCACACTTAAATGCTCGATTCGAAACCCCCACTTTGTTTGTTAATGTCGAGCACGATTGGTGCGGTAACACTGTTACCGTCAACATCGCATGTGGTTAAATTGTTATTACTGGACCAATAAGCGAGACCACTCATACAAACATCAAATGTTGGCATTTCTCAATAAGGGTCATGTTCATTCATCAAAAGTTTTTAAATTAACAACAACTTCAAGTATTTCGTCCCGTTTAAGACAACCGTTATTATATACACGGTGGGGAAAATGTCTCTTTGCGCAGTTAAAGAACAAGTCTGAGTAACTTTTATTGCTTACTTCTACAACAGTTTTAGCCTCTTGCTAGATGTTAAGTAAGGACTTTCCGAATGTCTAGAATCTTTCTCAAACTATCAATAGACTTCTGCCCCACCTTGTACATGTATATATATATATCCGTCCACCACGTTGGTATGTAAATATGCTGTGTCTGTGCTCAGTAATTATTCGATACAAAAGATGATGACATTAACTGTCTGCCAGCCTCCAACAGATATGTTGGTAATAGTCGGACTACACGGCACCAAAACAGAAAAGCTCCACTTAAATACACCGTGGATGAAAAAGAAGGAAATTCAGATTGCGCGCTCTGACGACTAGCTGCCAATCAACTCCACAACCAATTCAGCCATAAGAATTGCGTTTCATTGAAGTTTCGAGCTGTTATTCTGCTAACCTTATGTCATCTCTATTTGCCATATTGCAAACAGGAGCCGCCGTCGCCGCCCCACTGTATGTTCGTTCAGACCAGATCGGATCAGGTCGGATCGGTTGATCGGTCGGTTGAAACGGCCGTGGAGAATCGCCGATTCGGCCAGTCATCAATGCGATTCGGTCATCGGGCGTCGTTCGGATGTTCGGTTTGACGTCAAACAGGTGTGAAACAGGCAACGTTTGTGCGATCAAAGTAGGGATCAGCAGTGGCAGAGAAGAACAAGAAGAGAAGCAGACGATCAATGAGCATCAATCGTAGTCGTAATGGAGTTGTGGGTCAGAGTTCATCAGTTGTGAGATCGTTGTTGATCAGCCCGATCAGGTTGCGCGGATTGTCCGAAGTATGAAGTCCATTGTTGCGGACGTTGTTGTTGCAGGTAACGAATTGAAGAGGATGCAAACGTAAGTAGTGAAGAAATGAGGTGGATGAGGTCGTAAAGTCCGAGATCGCACGAGCAAATGATGATAGCAGTAGAAGATGCAGAAGAACGAGGTGAAGTAAAGTTGTAGTGGTCGTTATGATGGAAGCGTCATAGTAAAGGCGTGAAGGTACAAGCGAATTAGTGGAGGTCACGGGAGAAGCAGGCGTAAATCGGGCAGCCGGAAACGGGGCAACACACACCACGGGCACAAGCGAAAAGAGAAAGAGTGTGACAGCAGATGGAAAGAGAGAAATACAAATAGAGAAAGAAAAAAAGACCAAAATAAGACAACAACAACAGCAACAACAACGACGACAGAAATATCATACAATAAAAATCACAATGAAGAACAACAGCGGACAACAATCACATGTTAGATCTTCATAGGTGTTTGGCATTAAGGGTTTAGATCGGTAGTATGACACGACTGAAATCGTTTCGTCAATTTGAATTCAGCAAACAACCATAAGCTAACGTCAATCTAAATTCAGATACTGAAGAACCCAATTAATCTTTTTTTGTTGCTTCAGTAAGATACCTGTATCTTCCCTTCACATGAGATGTATAGGCTTGTAAGCTCGATCGTTCTGCTATGTAGCTATCGTTGGTTTGCTCAGTCCACACGAATTATTTCATTGAACGTCTCCAAACACTACCCAGCCTACCGAAAGATTAGAATGCTTTGAGATTTGCAAAATAGATTCGCTAATTCCTCTCACTGAACGTGCTATCTTTGCATTGAGATTGGGAAAGATTCCTAGATTAAGTTTTACGAAAATGATTGACGAATAATAATTGATTATCCGGCAAAACAGGATGCTGCTAGTGAATTCCGAGCTGAAGCTAACAGAAAATTGTGTCTAGTACTTTTAATCAAATAAATGAAGAATCTGCCAAACTATCTGCAAGGGGTGTTAGGCTCACAACTGTGGTCCGGGCAGCTTTATTCATTTTATCTCTGACTTCAGTCTGTCATTCGCCACGATTCAATAAAGGAACCTCAAACGATCTTCAAGACTGGCACAACACTTATCAATAATACATACCAAAATACCAAAAACTCGCCTTTGAAAGGAAGCTCTACCTCAAAGTCAACCTTTAAAAGGTCCAGTACTCGCATACATGTTTCTGTACACGGATCATATATGCAACGGCTAACCAAACCAATATATAGATTATAACGGTCAATAAGTGCTATTTAATTTAATAGGGAGTGTGTCGAACCAAACGTGTTATTGACGTTAATGCATCACAGTGCTTTGTCTGTCATACGTCCCACGGAATTTTATCGCTTGACAAGGTAGCTCGTATCTCTTAATTGCTTCGGAACAGATCTGTACGGTAACCGGCGTGCGGGTTCTAGATTGGCGCGAAATCTATCCTACAGTGTATATATATATGAAACGGATGCAACGCTTGCCGAGTGCTTACCATAACGGCATACGAGTCCGATATTGTAGTTATCTTTCCAAAGGACCTCGACATGTACAGCTTTCATGGAGACGGTACCTTCGATATGATATAACACAGACTGCGAGCTGTAGCTCACTGTACAATTCAGAACTTGTCTCATCACTATGCTTTTCAACCACATTGCTTTGTAACATTTCAGCACTATTTCATCATACAAAAGTACGGGACGGCTAGTATTAATTCTGAATCTCTATTCCATGGAAGTGAAAATGAACGGCTCTTCGCTCCCTCCGCCAAAACAACCTGTTCTCATTAAAAGACCATTATTTAAGCCAAAATAGATGGTCTGCTTTTCTGCGAATCACTGACGGAGAATCTGGCTAGGCATATTTTAGCTCACGATTGCATCAAACGAGAATTATACTAAACAAAACGGTCCATAAAGGGATTTTCGTATTGTTCCCGATTTTATTTCGATAATGAACTGTATAGTACGCACACAGACATTCTCTTGAGCAATTCAGCCAATGACAGCCAGGTTTCATCACGTTGCTGGCTCTGGTGGGCCATAAAAGCAGGAGGCCTCAAACGGCGGTCATGGATAGCCCACGTGGCACCCACCCCGGCAACAATCTCATTTCAAACCTATTTTAATACTGCTTTTCGTTCATAGTAACTTCGTCATACTTATGTGTGTATTTACATGCACCGATGGAAGCTGCTTCACGCAGAGATTTCTACTCTATATGATACTACAAGCAAAGCAATACATTTTTCGGTCCGTCCTGCTTCACGGATTACGAGGGTCTCTTTGCAGAAAAAGCTTTACTTGTATCACCTATCATATACTGCAGGTGGTAAGCTAAATATTTCTAACTGCATGTCCGGTACCGCCCGGATTCAAACCTAGACCACCATATGTCCCTAACAAAAGCAAGCAAATACGTTACCCACTTAGCTATCACGGGGACGTAGGTGGTAAACTAAGGTGGCACTAGCAGATCTTCAAGGCTTTCTAATCTTTAGTAGCTGTAGCAGCAACATGTGAATACAATATAACATGCCCTTGATAGTGCCGAACGCAAGTCTTTGACATGTTGCAACTGGCCGGTTACGGACCTTTTGCTGAACTTCGAGCTGAGCTTGGAAAAGAATCCACGAGAGTTGTGATGATGCGATGCAGCCGATGTATCCTGACTCTGATTGGCCCAGCGAGTCTCGGGTTGTTGACTTCGAACCCCCGTAACACGCGTTTGGCCAGAGTGGAACGTCGAACGGTTAGCCGTGCCTAAAGAGGAAACATGACGAAAAGATAAACCATCAGACGTAAACGAACAAACGCTTCATTTTTCAAATCGACAAGATGCGTGGATAAATACGTTGGGAATTTAAAGGAGCACTTGTTGAAGTTCGGGTATACCTTATGCAAATCGCTCGTACTCACCTCTAGGGAAGGCGGGTTGAGGCTGCCTGGTCTGTAGCGAATCCTGGGGAGAAGTCGGTAGACACGATAAAGGTTTGTTCCCTAGCGACGACAAGGGACCCCCGCTGTAATGGCCGAATGGAACCGGCATTAGAAAATGGAAATCGTTGCTAACTAAACATAGCATTCCATACGCAAACAACAGTACGTTATGGTGTCGGGGCAGTCATATTGACATACAACGGATAATGAATAGACCGGCTTCGGATATATCAGATTAGTAAAATTCTCGCACAAAACATCACATACAGAAACAGGAAATATACATATTTATCATATATGAAAAGCTGTTCTATTTGTACATTATACAAATCATGACTCCATTTGTATTACTATTTAGTATATAAATAGACACCCGAGTAGGTACGTTGTGAATCAGCCGACACAACACGAGGCGCGTGTGTTCCTGTGTGATAAGTACAACGTCCGTATGTAAGTTGGACGTGACACTTTACATCAACCATACCGTAACTTAACTTTGTAACAACTTTATTATAATGTGTTGAAATTGTTATTATTATTATTATCGAGCAAAGCGAGCTATTCAGCGTCGAGCATGAACAGTCTCACTGTAGAACATTCGATCATTTGTCTCTTAATGAGCGTCACAACGGCCGTTGCTGTTCATTTATCAAATAGCAGACGCGCGTAGCAGCCATAGCTGGACAGGCGATCAATGGTCAACCGCCAGTAAGTCAAACATCAGCCAAAAGTAAAGGATCATCTGACGAGCACATAATTAGACCCGTCTTCTGAACGTTGATTATTATTATTATTATATTATTATGACGAAGAAATAAGCCAATATTGTGAATAATAAAGGTTTATGGAGCATAAACACCGCATCGTGTGCTACGGGTATAACTTAAGCAGCATTTTTGTTAGTTATTTATTTAACTAACGTTTCGATCATTAAACGGTCAAGTTTCAACAACAAAATGATAGATTCTTACTCATCATATACGAACTCCCATTTAGGGTTTATCGCTTTAACCTTTAACACGTTCGCATGACCAATGCCCATTGGAAGGCCGCTTACCCCCAAAAATGAATACAAGATCTCGAAAATATATAGAACCTAAATAATTCTAATAATAATAAATAAAGATGAGATTAAAGAACAGGAACCTTTTTTACGTATCATTACTTACTTTTTATACCCACTAAAGTTGAGTAAGTTGATAGTTGATAAATCTGAATACTGAAACGTTAGTGGGGTCTGCTTCGGCCCGTAGGTCGGTAGGATAACCGAAGGTTAAAAAATGAAAGTTTGTTTTAAAATATAGAGAGGGCTTTGCTATCAACATTTTGCTGACATTACTCGAGTGAAACTTTAACCGGAGCGATTTTGCAATGTAAGATGGATACGCCAAAAGGAAGCTCCGAGTAACCATCATACTAGTGATTGCAAGGGAAACCTATCGAACCCTTTAATCGAGTTGTTATTAGGATATGATAGGGAATAGAAATTTCATTATGGTTGTATCTTAATCACAGTATGATCATAACTGACCTTCCTAATAATAAATTTATTGTAAACAAATAGCATGGCAAGCCAATATCTGAACTTCAAATTTAGGGAAGCTTATTTGTCGCCTGATGCCAACGACGGTGCCTAAAAGTTTGTCGATGTATGGGTCCTGTAACAGGGACCCTTAGGAATCGCAACTCCTTTGTTGGTCAAGAAGCGAACCGCGGATTAAAGGAGTTAGCCTTGGCATTCGAGCCTAAACCACAATAAGTGGGTCAGAATCAAAATAGGAAGAAATAAGCCAACCTTACGCTTCGGACCAACCCTCACAATCGAATATCAAGTAGCACTTCGTTTCCTTTCAATGGAACTTGATGAAATGAACAGAACTCAATGGCATCGTATTGCAGAAGCTTAGTGAAACCCTCAGTGGCGGGCCTAACTGTTGCCCCCCCCCCCCCCACATTGCCTTCACCCCTTCAAGTAGCTGGATACACCCATCAACGGCGTGATGTCGAACGCAAAGGCAGGGTACTGACGGTGTCTCTATTCGCTGTTTACCTTGAGGGTGGCGTTACGGGGGTGATCGCTCCCCCGCAGACTGAAGCGCATTTTGTATGGCCCCTCCCGGGAGCGCTGAGAGTACTGCCACCCCCCGCGCCTGCATGTAGCAGTCCCGGCGGGCTGCACCTGCCCGACCCAGGGCCGCTACCCCGCAGCAGTTCGCGCCCCTGCTGTCGATCGGAGCTGGCATCACTGTGCGGGCCCGTACAGCCGTCCTTGTCGGAGGCAGAATACAGCCCACCATGATGCTGGCGACCTTGGTGCTGCTGCTGCTCGGTAGATTGCCGATGTAGATTAGTGTCCCCGGCCTGGGACAGAGATCTCTCCCGGTTACCCCCTGCTCCTCCACTGGGGTGATTGCTGCTGCTGCTGTTGTTTGTGCTGGCGTCCTTATCGCTGTGATGCTGGCGTCTCGATTCGCTGTCAACGCCGCCCGTTCCCGGGCATGTTTTGCCTTCGACCGTAGGCGTTGCCTCACCGCTGCCTTCCGCGCTACCTCCGCCGCCACTCTCCGAGCTGCTTGCGTCGTTCAATCAATCAGTCAACTAGTCAATCAACGAATCGCCTTACTATCAACTAGTGGTAACCACCAATTCAGAACTATACGGTTACCGCCATCGGCCGGCAATAGTCACCCAGTCATTGACTCATTCAGTCGACAACAATCAACAAGGCTTATTCATCAAGATCAGCAAAAGATCGTTATCATTGTTGTCGTCTGAATGGCTATCGGAAATTAGTGAGTAAAAAAAGGGTCAATGTTGACAGGTGCCATCAATACGTTTCTTTTACGTTTATATTTAATAGTGTTTCGGTTTTAACTCTACATTGAGTCTACTACTGTCGGTCGATTCAACCCAGTTCAGCTCAATATGTGTCATAAAATTTTCGTGGGATTTTACAGAATCACATTGCTAACATGACGGTAGCAAAAACAGCAGCAAATGGTGGGTCAGCAAACGAGCGCGGGGCAAGGAGCTTAATTTAAAGTGAAGTCTTCCGATTATGCTAGGGGGAAAGACTCCAAGATGGACGCGGAACTCTACATTTGTCATAGTCAACCGAATCTTGAGAAATATTGAATGAGCAAGGAATAATTCAAGAACTAGGTAGGTATGAAAACATAATTCTACATTTCGTAGGCTGGTGACCTACGGCCGCCGAAGGTCCTGTACTGGTGATTGCTATTGCACGTGGCCTCAAATAGAGCTGAATGAAGACGCATTACGACGCTTGCCTATCTTCCTATCTTTCGCTCTGAACATCTCTTTAAGAAGAAGGATAGACCACGACTACTGGTCAGCTCGATGGTTGTGATGGGTCTAAATAGGTCCTCGAAAAGGATATGAAGAATGTGCGCAGGTATTAAGTCAAACAAGAAAATAACACAGGCACACAGATTTATTGAATAAAAAGGCAGCTATGGAAGCGGAAACATGCTTATTACTGAAACTACAACTCTACTGATATACTACTAGTTCGTCTAGCACAATCGTCGGATCACCGATCCGAGAACGTTACCAAAATCATTCTGGACAAATAGAAAGTACGTGTGCCACTACCGTTCGATGGGATCGGACAGTCATACGGTGGCAAGGAACAGGATCATAACTACGTTAGGATACTAGCTAATATGGTTATTATCCATTCTGTAATCTATGAATCGCAGCTGTAGTATCCCACAAGGCGGGAAATGATGTTAGGAAAGCCATTGATATTCCTAAATCCATGAAGCCGTTACAGTTCAGTATAAGAAAGGTTAATTTCCAATGCACTCGAAGATCGATCGTTGGAAATTAAGAAGTAGGGTAACACGAGGATATGACTAGGATTAAGTGACCTGGAGAGCAAGATCGCTTTACGCTTGCAACAACGACGAATAAGCTCCGCATGGCGAACATGGTATCAGAAAAAAGAAAACAACGAACAGAAATAGAATGCCACTACAATATAATAACGGTTTTTTTTTTAATTTTATGGAGGGAAAATGTCAGCAAATTTTTAACAAACAAAAACGGATAAGGCAACTATTAAGTACACACATAGGTTATGCGAAATATGTACGAGAACAAAGACAGCTGTTCTATGGTAACGGGTTCCCAACAATTCGATAATGCATATGCGTTCTTACAACTAGCACATTGTGTTTTGTATATTTCGTGTTTTAATGTTCCCATATATCGCATGCCAAGGTAGAGGAGCCGCAATGTCGGGACCTTGAAATCCAATGACTCATAACTTCGTAGCAGTCTGACCAATTAAAATTCTTAAGGTAAACCGAACGAACACACGAGCAAAATATGACGAAACATTGAGTTGGCAGTTCTCTAACTAATCGTTTTATCCATTGTTTATATTCAAAAACGTCGTCTGTTGGCTAAAAAGCTGGTCTGCCAAAAAATCGTCTGCTACGCAAGATCGCCCATTTGCAATTTCGTCTGCTCAAGATTTCGTCACTTCCGTAAGCGGTATTACGCTGTGCGAAAGGTTAATGTTTGGTAAACGATACTAGATTGTTAAAGCTAGTGATTTCGTCTGCTAGACAACTGGCGTGTGTTCGGCCCATGCCACAAATGTGCGCGTATTTGTACCGCTTGCCGGTAAACTGCGTTTATCTCATAGCAGTAGTAATAGTAGTGTGAAGTTTGCGCTGATATTGGCTGGTCAGTGTACTTTCAAGCAGCTTTTTTTTCATTTCTTGTTTTAGTAAGAATTCAATTACTTTTTACCTTCATATGATTGTGTAGTAATTATTTATTTCGCCGGCAAGATTTTAGGCAGCAATCCCTGTCAGTCTTTTTCGACCAGAGGTGTAGCTTTTCAATTTTTTCAATGACCACTTTCTATTATTATTCTTATTACTATTATTTAAGTTATATTGGAACAATGATTAGTACTTGCAGCATGCGTGCTTTTGTATCAGGGCGTTACACACACATTCAACAGGCACGACGAAACTTCCGCACGGAGGTCCCGACCGTGCCACTCACCCAGCCGAGCGAGGGGGTGAACTGTCGGCCGAGCTGGTTCTCTTGGGCACCGGAGCGTCGGGGGACCTCTGTACCCCCTCATGGTTGCCATCGACATCACTAGTTATGGCGCTGGTTTCGCCAAGTAGAACGCTCGTTCTGCAATTCACCAATGAATTAACCAAGGAACCAAACGACATCGTGGTTGATCGCGTCGGTATTGAATTGTTTCATGCAGCTGCGTTGCGAAGTAACCGACGTCATTTTTGTTCCCTCTCTTTTTCGATTTACCACACCAGACTATGAAGCTATGGATAAAATAGGCTAGGATAGGCTCGCTAGGTAGAAAGGTATGTGCAAATGGCGTGACCGTAGCAGGAGAACAGCGTAACAGCAGACGATATTAGAACGCGTGTACCAGGCATTATACAAATAGAATTTTTCATTACTGGCCCGCTTATAGAACGAGGGGCGTAACGCTACGGTATTATTTCAATACTTGAGGTCGAATTACGTCGTTTTGTTGTCAGTTTCGATTAATGCTAATTGAGTAAATTAGCCATGAACTACAAGGCCACAAAGGTTTTGCAGGTGATTCCGTTTTTCTTGCTACTTTGTTTTATTTACAACTTATTTATTACTTAATATTGGCAAGACAACAATTTAGTAATACAAGAAAAATTCACGATAAACTACAAATTTCAATGCAGTACAGTTTTACTAAAAGCTGTTTCTAGTGGGCACATGCATTAACTAAAAAATTTAATCCGCTGAACTGCACGCCAGTACAGGCAAATCATCATCTACGTTCGTTTCGTATATACAAATGTACAATACCGTATCTCAAAGTTTTTTTTCCTGTTCTATAGATTTCAAAGCAAAAATAAGCTGCCAGTTTCTAAATAGCCTAATACTCCTAAACAGGCATGAGGCATCTTCATTCGTCTGATGCAAATCGTAACGCCTTCATCGGTGGCTGTCCTATCAATCCACAATTGTCCTATGGTGTTGGTTCATTTCGTATTTGCGATATCTATTGTTGACTACGAATGGTTTAAATAAGTTAAGTTGGATTGCAGAGGTGACAGTTACTGTCACAGCCTAGATTAAATGAATTTTTTTATTCACTAGTAACCGTTCACAGCTTCGTTCGCAAATTCGTCGTAAAGCTGAACATGCTTTGTCGATACAACAAATATTGCTATATAGAAAAAGAGTCCTTTGAAAACTGTTGCAGCTGCGTAAATCGATAAAAGATCTGTGATACATACAAAAAATACCCTCAAATACGACTTCGTCAATTCACGTTAGATACGGCTTTAACCATCAGGTATTATCGAGAGTGACCTAGAGTTCAAGCTGGGATAAAGAGATTGTAGTAAAAGCGCTACCAAAAACTAAAAAAAAAAAAAAAGAACGCTCAGTATTCCACAATTTAGGTAACTCTTAGCACACATTAGGTTGTATGTCAAGTTGCTTAATCTTAGATATGTCGCCGTAACGCAATTATCCGTACTGAGATTTTGGCTCTGCTTAGCAGATAATATCAGGCAAGCTCAGAAGAAGGTTTGCAAGGGTACGCCACAATAAAAGGCATTTTAGGGGGTTCAGATATAGGAGAAATCTAATAAGCTAAAAGAGGCGATCAAGCCGGATAGAAAATGAGCTCGTATACTTTTCAATCTACAAGTACACGTACTCACATATGCATGTTGCGAGAACAGTTAGTCGAGGATCAATGCAAAGACCAAAAAAACAGTTAACAGATAAACGAGGCTTATAGCGACCAAAATTCCCAGCGGCCAAGGTCAAGTATAAACTATCACAGAAAAAAAAGTCGAGGGATCCGCGTTTGCCCCACAATAGTACATAAAGCGGGGTCGGGCAAACAAAATAGGTGACATCGCAATACAAGATCTCTTTAAAACGAAAAACAGGGGAGAAACCATTCCGGCATTCGTATAGTGTTTATCTTGCCGGCAAAAACGTGTTCATTCAGATCTCTTTTCAATCAAAGTAACGGCTCGTTGTCATTGTTCTTGTTATTCGAATGAATTCACGCATAGGCTCCAGAGCCTAGAGTAATGGACCGCAACTCCATCTGCTCGAATATTAGCATCCGTTTAAGCGCGCATTATTGCGTTCCCTGTTTACCTATGCTACAATGAAACAGGTGAGCCTCGTTTTCGCAACTGCCTACTCAGACAAACCTAATTTAACTCTTAAGAAAACAACAAAAAACATTAGTAGAATCTCTCTCTCGCTGTCTGTTCATTCACATAGTTGCCTTTTCCTTAAGCAGTCCCCTTGCTCCCCCGAATTCTCGTCACTGACCTGTTCGTTATAGTTAGCTGGGGCCGTTGCGTCGACTGCCCATTATGATGGGCACTCGATGCACCCGTCGTGGCGTTGTTGTTGTTGTTGTTGTTGTTGTTGTTGCTTGCTGCAGTGGCAGTATTGCTGTGGGCTGCCGGGCTAGCCGCGTGTCCCGTCTGGCCGAGTCCCGCGGAGTCGCGAGTTGCCAGAGAGCTGCGTCCATCTCTATCACGATCGCCGCGCTCCGATGCCGTACCAGCCGCCGATTTGACTCGCATCGAACCTGCCATTGGTCGAGATGGACTGCGAAATGACATGAAGTGGTGATATAGTGCCAATAACAATACAAACAACAGCAAACAAACAAACAACAACTAACTGAGACATGTGGACCATCAAACGGTTGTTGTTTATATGAACAACAATAATAACAACTAGGAGTAGCCTGCAATGACGGGTCAGACCCATCATAACTTCATGTTAATCTGCGTCGACTCAAAGAGCTCTGTTCAATATCAGGTGATGAAATTTCATTAAATTATATCAGTACGCGGAATCTACGTGGGAAGAAAAGATTTATTACTTAAAAAAAAAAACTATGCAATGACGCTGAAAATGGTATCAATAAATTGATACCATTTTCAGCGTCATTGCATAGTTTTTTTTACGACTGTCCATTATTGTTATAGGGTCACAGGGCTGACAATTCCCAATTTTATCATAAAACCGCTCCCTTTCTACCTGAAAATGATTATTTACATCGTTACCTGGACGTCTTTTTAGCGCCATTGTGTACTCCGTCGCCTGTTGCATTGTTATTGTTTTGTCCATGTGTCGTCTGCTGCTGGCCTGGGCTACCACTGAGGCGGCGACCCATCCCCGCTTTGTTAGTGGCTGCGGATGCAGAACGTTGTACATTAACTGGTATAGCGGCATGTGGATTAGGTCCACCGCCGACTGGTTCTTTGCCAACGACCACAGGTATGCCGGTCACCACTTGCTGTTGCCGTAGGCTTAGTGAACTACCGGATCGGCTCGCGCTTGCCGAATCCGCTCCGCTGCCATCGGCGACGCCCCCCAGCAATAGATAGTTGGCCATAGCATCATCGTATTTGCTATGCCGCAGGCTCTCTTCGACCTCTTGACGACTGTAGCCTATCTGGACCAAGGCGTCGATACGGCGTTGATCATTGAGCTCTATGGGTGGCTCCTGGTGTGGCCGGAGCTCATCATCTTCGTACCTGTGGATCCACAGGTCGAGTACAGATCGGATGTGCAAACAAAAAGCGCAAATGATTACCATTGATTAAAGGTCATTCGTTTCCGAGGTAGGCAGTCGGGCGTGGGCCTTACTCGGCACATTAGTTGGAGATTCACCTATGGAACTACGGTGTTCGTGCAACGTGATGCCCATGTCGCAAGGATAAACGGAGAACCAATGGTTGAGAAGTGATGGAAGGAATAATTGTGATATAATAGGCGGTATTTTAATAGATATAACTTGAAAATGGACAATAGTATACTTCTTGTGTGATACGTTTGTGCAATACAATTGCCGGCCGATTCGTAAACGCCAACAGTGAACGACCCACTTACCCCAAATTCATCCATTTTTCGCGCATAATTGCCTCAAGCGTTGCCCGCTTTTGCGGATTTAACACCAGGAACTTCTTGAGCAGCGACTCACAATCTGTCGACATATAAAACGGAATGCGGTATTTGCCCCTTAGGACCCGTTCCCGTAGTTCCTTCAGGTTCGCGCCGTCGAAAGGCAGGCTACCTGACACGAGCGTGTACAAGATCACCCCCAATGACCACACGTCTACCTCGGGTCCATCGTATTTCTTCCCCTAAATAACGAATAACCCGTTATAGAAAAAAACAACGGCAGAAGTATCGGAAGCAACAACAAAAGGACATTCAAACTCAGTCATGCGCACAGACAGTAAGCCTAAACGAAGGGTGAATAATACGGGGAAAGGGATAATTGTCAATGTCACGACTTATCGTAAATAAGTCGTTCATTATACATTGTTTCTAGAGTGAAGTGAAATAGCTTAAATTTGGTCGTAACTTTACTCAATTTGCAATTGTTTACCGTGTCGAAAAATAACCCTAAGGAAATTCATAAAGATAATACTAACTATAAAAATAAATCCCTAATTACACCCATAATTTACTCTTTGCATTTCTACTAGTATATATCTCGAAAGAATATATGGCTACATGAACATTTAGTACTTCTTTAGTTGTATGATCTTTAGTCTTTTGTTAGAAAGTACTTTTTCTGATTGACAAATGCAAATTGAATGTTCACACCACCTGGAAGAGTTCGGGTGCAGCGTATGGGGGACTGCCGCAAAACGTGTCGAGCTTCTGCCCCGGCACAAACTCGTTGCTAAACCCAAAGTCGGCAATTTTTATGTTCATTTCGGCGTCGAGAAGTAAATTTTCCGCCTTGAGGTCTCGATGAATAATTCGTTTCTGGTGGCAGTATTGAACCGCGGAGACGATCTGTCGAAATTTAGCCCGCGCCTCTTTTTCCTTCATCCGACCGTGTGCTACTAAGTAGTCAAATACCTCACCTCCTGACGCGTACTCCATGACCAGATATAGCGTTTTTTCTGTTTCTATCACCTACCAGATTTACCGAACGAATGTGGCAAAGAGTCAACACGTTGGTTATCAAAGCATATTATGCAAAAATGAATGAAATTACCATCACACAAAACATAATTAAAACTGTCGACGGGTGCGACCTAAATAAAAAAAGGAACTTTACTAAAATAACGAGTTAACATCTAAGTAAAAGTTGCCGTTGCTTTTAGCTGCTTTAGTTTAATGTAGGTTTCGATGAAGTGACACAATTTAGTAAAAGTAGTCATATGCTGTATACGAATTCGCCCATCCCTTTGGCCGCGGTTAAAAGGTGCTCGCTTTTATAAGCAATCCATTCGCCAACGTATTCGCGAATTTAGGTTTCTGTTCTAAGATGCTTGCCTTCCTAGTTAAGCTGCACTGACGGAAACAAGTATTAATCAGTTGGAATGATGTTTAGACTGTGCGCCGGGCATGGCAGAGTTTCCCACTGGAGATCAGTTAGCGCTCGTTGGGTCATCAAAGCAGTATGCGGAATGGCGTTGTCATGTAGTAAGATCGTTTTGCGTCACCCTTTGCCAGTTCAAGGCTCTTCCTGTCGATTCCGTGGCTCAGACGGATGAGACGAATTTGCGTAACGATCCCTTGTAGTTCTTTCTTGGGATCTGAGTAGTTCATAGCATAATCCACCCTTATCACCGCCGGTAGTGATCTTGCTACTTGTGCTCTTGGAGAAGTAGGTATAAAAATAACATGATGCAATAGGTCTCTATTATTTGCTTGTTAATTACTTAATTGCTAGTAATCGCCAACCATTGCCAAATCAATGTTTTTGCCATATAGCTACCCGCTTCTCGCTTTTTCGGCGAATTTCGAGACATCTTTGAGGGTCAGAATAGATACCCACGCTTGAAGAACCAGTTCCAAACACCAGCTGATAATAAAACTGGTTTTGTTCAAGCAATCACTTACGCTGTGGAGGTTCGTTCCAACAGAACAGATCCTCGACGCATTTGTTGGACCGCCAAACTAATCTAGAAGATGAATCAGATGCTAGCTAATATCATTACGTACATCAGAATCTTCTACGTACTGACTAAGGACAATATGACATCGTGCAAATCATCCGATGTATAATTCTTAACAGAATAGCAAAGAAGTTCCAGATGGGAATATGGTCATAATACATACATGAAATACATTTTGATTTTTTCTGTCTGAGGTCAAGTACTGCTCGCTTTCAACTAGGTAGGCTATTTTTTATATATAGACTATTCCATACTAAAATGAGAGGCAAGACGCGCACGACGGACGTGTAGTTTCAAAGCGTGTGTTATGTGTCGCTTTTGAAATTATCCTGCCTTTCAATGTGGCGAAGTTGCGAGTAATTATTAAGAATCATGTTAATATTACTAGTACTACTAGGTCGTGCATTGCGGTGTGTGAACAGTCTGCTGCATTTGTAGCCTTATAGCAATCTATTTTTCTTTTTTTGTATATGCTTGTCTATATGCATTCTTCGTAGTGATTCCTTTTATCGATGCTAATGTTCTTTTGTCAAAAAATCATCGAAAAGTTCGTCATTATAAACTTTGTCTAACCTAATTCAATATGATTGCAACATCCGTTTGTAATTACACGTCGATGTACTGATAAACATCAAAGTAATTTTATTCTATTTAGTATACATTCTTGACCAATATTTGAATAATTATACGAACTTTGGATCAACGAAAAAATAAACACAGCCCGAGTATCGACGTATAAACAGGCTAAGGCACACATAATTTAAAAAATTCTCTTGACAACTGGAACCTTCATTTTGAACCTGTTAGGAGCTATGTAAATGATTGCAACAATGAGCGGATGCAACCATACAGCATTGATTTTCCGAACGAAGGGAATAGTTTTTTTAGAACGCCTCAGTGATTCTTGCCTCAACCTGTACAATAATTGTTGTCACTTGTCTCTGTCCCCATAGTAGTAAACTGGTGACGTGTTCACTTGCTACTAAGGTTCGGGGCGCTTAGTTTGATAGGGTCCAGGATAAAATTTGGGCGTAAACACACTGTTTATTTCATATTACCAGGACAAGCCGCCGGCCGTCTGAAGCAGTCATATTTGACCAAGGGAGCAATAGCACAAGAAAAAAACAGCCGTCATTTTTTCGGCTGTTGTTTACGTACTGGTCTAGCCGTCAGGGTCATCAGGGATCACGTACGTGTCTAACCTTCCGTCTTTTTTGTGGCTTTTTAATGGCTATACGTCTCTGTTACATGTTCGTACACTCATGTACAATAATGGTCGCCCTAATGTGGATTTGTATAGATGTATATATAGGTATGTACTGCTAAAAATATTGGTTATGTAATGGGACAGTACATAAACCTAGCAACGTTACAAAAATGTAAAAAAAGGGCAGTAGATTTTGGATACATAACCGAGGCGCCAAGTCACATTTTTCGTCCTTATTCGATATTTAGATTCAGCTTTTATATATATATATATATATATATATATATATAGCGTAAGGAACGAAATTGCCCAAAGGAGTTGCTATTAATTGTTACTTTGTAATCCCAGTTGCAGTTTCTTGATTTCAGTGGACTCCATCAAGTGATGATGTTCGTCTTTTCAAAAGCCACGTGAAACGCCACGGAACGTATGCGCGAATACGTAAGATCTCGTGCTTAATAGCTAAAAGCTCTTGGTGGTGCAATTTTTCTCTCATTACATATATATATATAGATATATAAACACATGGCAAAATCAACAGCAACATTGAAGGGCTTCGACGTAGCAACCGAATGTGTTCTGTGCTACAGCGATAGATAAATGCGTTTAGAAATGACCCTTACGCGCCCAGCAAAGACGGCTACCTCAGCGGCACCTAATAAGCGTACGCAACAACAGTTCGAGCAAGAATGGTCAGGATTAGACGCAAACTGTTGTCACACATGCTCCGCGCCTAATACTGCAATCCGTTGTCTTTTTCCTGCCATCTTTATGTTGTTTTATAGTTGTTTTTATCGCTGTTATTGGCTTTCTGACCATTAGTGGTTGGAGAGATAGCTGCAACGAAATGAACGCAAGCAAGGCCGCTGAATTCAAATCGGTCATGAGTCCGTTTCATCGTGTGGGGCGCAGGTCACCGATTTACGTGGCGCAACGATCTCGATATTGGTTCGGCTGACTAACTGACAGCAACAAATACCGACCATATCGTGGACCAGTAAAGACGGGCGGGCCCGGTGAACCCGAACTATCTATAGGCCACTGCATATCGATATCTGCATGAGGCGCATATATATAGACAGACATAGAGGGAGAGAGAGCGGGGGGGATCGTCTCGGGGACGACCTGCTGCTCGTTTAAGGAGGACGAAAAAAAAAAGGGACCACAAGAGATTACGAACACTCGCAAGCAGGCATCGATGCAAGGGCAGAAGGGCTGTTGTTGACGCTGTGTGACAAAAACGGCCAACATCGCAGGAGGAAACCACATGGGTTTGTACGCAACAACAAGAGTGATTTGGACGCTAAAAAAACGCAATCCTAGGTTCCATCATTCTGTAGATTTTGCCTTCATTAAGGAAAATGCTTAACGTGTTTTGCCTGTAAGCTCAGGACAACTCGACGACAATTGGCATAAACAGGCTTGTGGTTTGTTGATGCCTGCCATAACAAAGGAAAGCAAGCAAAGCAAACGTCAGAACGTGACGCTGAGCGACACCAGGTAGTTTCCCAGTAAATAATATGCAATGGAACACGATGGTCGCTGCTTTTTCTATAGATAAATACACAAGCCGCAGAAATATATATGGTTGGTTTGTGATCACAGCTCAAATATTCAAATTCTAGAACTTGTATATGATGCACACATAAAGGTTTATGTACATTTGCGCCGAATGAGCTAACCCATGTACGTCTGCTTTGAGACTTTCATTATGTCATAAAATTTTTTGTATCTTAATCTGGAATGATATAAAGAGTAGATGAGTTTTTGAAATGGTTTGCGAATTGCTACTAGAAAATTATATATAATAGTTTTAATGAGAGTGGGATAGAAACCGTTTGTTTGTAATGGCCTCTGTGGCTGGCTGGCTGGTTCCCCTAACACGAAACGAAGTGTGTCTGTCTATACTTGGGTTTGAACATAGACCATAACATGTCCCTAAGATTAGCAGGCAGATACATTACGCCAATTGCCAGAAGGCACTGGCAAACAAGGCCAATATGTCCTAATGCGCGAACTAATCAAGAATCTAAAAACGATATTCTCTCGATAGAGATGAACATACAAAAGTCGGAAATTGTTCAAAAGTCAGATAGCAGAAACGCAGTTATTCGTTTCTTGATTTCTTTTTTCAAGTATTTGCTTCAATAGGTCTTACATCTAATAAATTTAACGGCGCTAATAAAATTATTAATACTATATTGATGCAATAAACTGCAAGAGGAGAACGCACAATAATCCGGGATAGAAACAATAATAATAACATTGTAGAATCGGTCGTGGATTGCTACATTTGTACCATATGTCAAAGGTGCTACAATTGCAGCATCTCCCATCCTAACATAAGTACGATATATTATAATACAATATATTATATATAACTATAATATTAGTTGAGGATTCTCGATATTGTTTATTATATCTATGATCAGAGCTAACACTCGACACAAAATAAAATATAGCTAAGTTAAGTTAAACAATTCACCTGGTAAAGTTTGACAATATTTGGATGTGATAACATCTTCATAATCCGAACTTCCCGGAAGAGTTTCTGTAGTGATGATTGGTTGAGTTGTGTCTTGTCGATAATTTTGATTGCAACTTCCTTATTCGTCGGCAAATGTCGGGCCAGTTTTACCTGGAAACGTTAAGTTGAACAAGAACACGGATCTGATTGACTGAAGATTAAACTTTTGCCCTTATATAAGTCTTTTGCTCACATTTATTCCTCGCCACTTGTTTGCAATAGACACGTCTAGTGGACATCAAGTACTAAGAGGCGTCGTCAATAGGACTACAATAATTACCTGGACGCGATAAGGATGTAAAGAACAGGGTTAGCTAAATTTGCTACTAAAGTAGATACAGGTGCAGATGACTTTACGCGGCACTGTAAAAGCCAAGGCCGATTAATTTCTCTATGGGTTCAACAAGAAGAACGGTCCCGCTGTGCAGCTTACACGGCATTAGTGGCATACAACGTACCTAAAACTATAATTTAAAGCTATAATGTTTTTCCGATTCACACTTACCCATAACAATCTACCAATTAGTACCGTATTTTGTCAAGGCTATATTGACATACACACAAAGATAATGGTAATAAACACTATTGACATATACAAGAATTACGGTCCAGAATGATTTTATGGTTAGTTTGGCATGAATCAACCTTGCTTTATGACCTAGTAAAAAAAAATTTATCCAGTTTTCTTTTTTGCATTTGTCTAATCATAAACTAACAATTACTCCCCGCAATACTTCCTTCTTAGCTGGGCACGGGTATCCCGTCTTTGCACAGCCGATGCCCCCTGACATCCGTCAATGGTCTGTAAGTCCTACTATAGCAAACCGATACTGCATTTAAACCTTTCACCGTTTCGCCATTGCTTTGGCCGTCGCCAGCCGTTGAAAAAGCTTTAACATCCCGCAGCTCGCCTCTCTCGTCTCGATATGACTGTGGTTCGTGTGTTAGGTACACCGGCCCATCTGCGGACAGACACATCCCTAATTTGTAGCTTGGTCCGAAACACCTTCGAGCGCCCAATATGCCCTTTGCGTTGAGAGACGTGCTTTTGTAAATAGACACTCGTTGAACGATACGAGATCAGTACGACGGGCAGATCTCCGATGCAGAGGACTAGTGGTTGTAATATCTAAAGTATTTATCCATGGCCTCAAACCGAGAAACATCTAAACGACGGGAAAGCTGGAACCCACGCAGATCTTCCTGTTTATCTAGTTACGGTCTGGCCGCTGTCTGCTTTTGCTAAGATCTTCTCCTTTCTTAGCGCCTTTAACTGTACCTGTATAGATTGCCTTTACAGTCTCGTTTGTTGGCAACGCATAAGCTTCCCTTACAAAGGATTAAGGCAGTAAGGGATGTTTTCTTTTTGAATCTCTCCGTCACCGCGTTGCTTACTTAGTACTACGGAAAAGCTCCGGGGCTCTCAGCAACGAGCTCACTTGCCCTAGACTGCCCTAACGTACCCATTAACGTCGTATCCATTTGTAGAGAACGGGAAGAAGTTCGGAGAAGACTAAGGGGTTGGAAGGGGTATGCTCCTTAAAACACTACCTTTCTGCCAACAACACGTTCAGGCGGCAGACTCGACGCAGCCAACAGACATGAAGCTAACGAAGATCGATGTCATTGTAAAGAGGGCCGATTGCTCACGCGCTTCCCGATCTCGTTGCATTTATTGTGGAGGTAGTTTATATAGGACCACGCATAATAGAAGCACTATTTGTCGCCTCTACCTATTGGCGACTTACGGACTGCGCACCTGTAACAGAGGTTGCAAGGACGCGGAACTGCGTATCGTTCCCAGATTTAACATCCGCAAAGCGAGAAGCGACGCAGAACCAGAAAAAAAATAGAAATGAGATCCAGATTTAACTGTGCTATCGACAGTAGTAAACAAGCGTAGCTGACAGCACAAAGTGCTTTCAAAGGGCGTAACTATTTGCTAGCCCGATTGTGTGAGAACTTATTAGGCAACCCGGTTATGTTACATGTATAGGTTTCTACGCGTGTCACAGCTATGTCTTCAGCGTATGTACAAGTCATATACAAAGGAAATACGCGACGTATGCCGATATTGTGCAAGGAACTTTGGCTCGCAGCCAGAACTCAATACGAAGCAGGCGACGCATGTTTGTTTGTTTTCAAATACTGCAACATTTGCTAAACACATTATCGGCGCCTATTTGACATCACACAAGCTATCTCTTACTTACTAATCTTAGCAGTCAATATGTTTAGAAACGCGATATTATGTTTCAATTGCACAGATACTGCAGGCCACAAGATTATTTCGCATCACTTCTCACGTCATGTTAGACCAATTTCTCGGTCTCTCACACCGCCACATTTGCCCGAGCCGTCTGGAAGGATCCGGCGACTATAGAAGGATACTTGCTTCGTATTCATTAGAAGTTAGTATAACAACAGCAGCAACGACGAATCCATCTGTTCATAATGCTCTACTAGTTTGTCTGCCGTTTCTCTTTCTTTCGCTTAGAGTTTGCCCAGTTGTAGAAGATTATGTCGGCTATTAACTAACACGGCGTTGCTGATCGAAGACCTTCATATTTTCAGGAGGAAAACAACTAAGCCAACAATACAGAGCAACACAACACCATACGGCTAAGACGTTAAGACGGCAACTACAGCAAACGATAGCAACAATAGCAGACGATAGCAAAGGGAGACAACAACGGGTGGCACAGCAACGTCAATGGTAATCGCCACGTACGTAATATAGCCAACGCTTCTTCGTAAGCGTCATTAGCACAATGCATTGTACGAAAGCAGAAAACAAAATCATGAGCCGTGTTTGCAACCATCACCCGACGAATCATTATCGTTTCCTTTGGCCTGATTTTGTGCGCGCATGTGATGGTAAGACAACGACAGTGACGGCAGTCCTTGCTCTATATGTGGGTGGGACTCTACGATGGGGTAACCCGCTTCGGCAGGCTACAGCAATAGAATACGTCACGGTTTAGAGCGAGTTGTAGTTAATAACGTTGAAGATAAACCCGGAAAAAGAACAAAAACCGCTTATGTCGCTGCCGAGAGGCCAAGAAGACAATAACCAAACCGTTGTAGAAGCCACCTAACTGATTCGGTTATATCCGAAATTATCACGTAGAACACCCGCATCTGTCTTTGCGTGTATGCGTAAACGATTTTCTACTCTGTTACCAACAGTAGCAATAACAAGGTTGCGTCTTTGAAGCAGAAGTCTCTCAGCGGAAAATCGCCAGCTGTTTCTTCGATGATAGTAAAAATATGCGTCGCAAAGTAGGTTCCAATCAAAAACCAATTTCCAACGTATACGAAAATGGATGGAAAGGTCCATGGAAGTAATCCCGATTTCGCTCGTCTGACTTATTAGAATAGTTTGTTATAGGGATATTTTAGCGGTAAGCACGCATGGTCTGCCACTAGACGTAGTTGGATTGTTTCATTATATTGATCTGTCAAACCGAAGCCGAGAACAATATTTATAGCCTTCATTTTTTTTCGATTTTTTACTCAGCACTAATTATTTGTGCAGTAATTTGTATTCAATTTGTTTGTTCAATTTAGTCCACGTCCTGACATTCATTATAATCTACTTACATAATTCAATAAAAACAGTATTTGTTCATACGCACTGTGTGGCAGGTGCCGTCGGCGGGATCTAAGGCAGTAAGAGCCATACTACCATATAACATAGTGGATGCTCGGTGCACCTTGCGTCTCGAAAACAGATAGTATCCTTACCATTTGACAAACTATACCGTAAGCCCCGGATGACGCAGTTGCGTCGTGCGTTTTTGTTTTTCTGATAAATTTCTCTTGGTTTATTTACGTTTCATCCATCTTGCCTGCGCATCTACGTAGAATCATCTGCACACAATAAAATCGTCCGGTCACGAACGTTCTCTCTCTTTCTCTCTCATGCATTTTTTTTTACGAGTTTGCGTACAGCAACCTCCATTGCCTTTACTCCAGTAGTGAGGACTCCATGTCCGCTTCGTCTAATCTTCACTCTCCAGCCGTTCTCATGTTTGGGCTTCATAATTCTTCGAGGCTTCGATAGGAATCTCACTGTCAGTCCGGATAGTCTTGTTCTCTGTTTTTATTCGCGCGGTAGGCCGTCACATTCGCTGACCGCTACAAATGGATAAACGAAAAGAAGGCAGGAAATGCTGGTAAGCAACGACGACGACAGCGACATCACGACAGCGTAGCATCGCTCACTACGGTATTAAATGGCATTTGCTTACAATATGCTTTTAACATCGGCAAGAAGAGTAGCTTACACTAAGAAAATATTCCACGTCACAAAGGCACTCACGTAAAAACAGGATACATGGACGGGTAAGCGACCATCTCTCTACTTTTTCGAGGAACATAAACGTTTTCGTATAATGGAATTGGAATGGCGGTTATTCTGCTGAGAGCAGATGGTGTCTGCTACATCTGCCGATGTCAGTGGCACTAAATGGCCATTGGAGAAGCCATTGGTGGTCCTAGACATTCAACAGTATACCCGGAACCATCCGGAAGCGTTGGAGATGGTTAGAGAGTGTCTGGGGCGAACCTTTGGAAAGCAATTTTCGGTAGTATCTTGGTTTAGCATGGACTGCCACAGTCACTATTCGTAGGCGCGAGAACAAGCCATTTCAGATGAATAGCGCAGATCTTATGGCATGGAGGTCCGTCTGTTGGATGGTCATAGGGTAACCAACCATATAGAGGACACTGCCCAAACTGGTGTGTCAAGCATAAATGTCTTATAATTATAGTAGAAACAGACGAGCAACTTCGCTTTCTGTAGAAACATAGCGCATCGTAGCTATTCATATGCCATTCATTACTAATCTGAGCATCGTTTACTCATCGTAATCATTTTGTACATACTAAACATGCTGTAAGTATCTATCATATAAGCAGAGTGTTACAGGAACCCTCTCCTTGGCCTATTTCGTCGAGGGTTTTTTATCTTATGCACCCTTTAGGCCTTCTGCGGAAAAATTGTCGCAGCCAAACGCGTCCTGGCGTTTAAACATTCCTACATATCCTATCGCCATTCGTTATTCAAAGTAGTCTACTAAGTGCGTGCTAGAAGCGTTCTGTCGAAA